TCCCCCCCCCCCTAAGGACACACAGACAGACACATACATGCAAACTAACACACACACACACAGAAACACACAGGCAAACACAGACTCACACACACACAACAAAAACACACACACACACACAAACACACACGCACTCAGATAGACACACACATAGACACACAGACAAACACACAGACAAACACACACACACACACACACTCAGATAGACACACAGACAAACACACATACACACACACATACATAGACACAGACAAACACCAGACACCAACACACACACACACACACACTCAGATAGACACACACACACAGACAAACACACACACACTCTCCTAGGTCACTGGACAGCTATGTTCTCACGAGCCCCCGTTTCCTTCCAGTCCTCTCCCTTCAGGATGACCCCAAGGATTCTCTCCAGCGGCGAAGGAAGTTCTGGTAGCGACTCGGAGGACTCCCGTGGGAAGCGAAGGACCAAAGGAATGGTCTACGGAGGATGGGAAAAAATGGTCCTCAAAGGCGATTGCTTGTGCTTGGAGGCTCTGCTTGGTCTCTCTCTCTCTTTTTTTTTTTTTTTTTTTTTTTTTATTTTTTTTCCTTTTCTCTCTTTCTCTCTCTTTTTTCTTCTCTTCCTTCGTCTCCTCGTCTTCTTAGCATTAATGTTGTTCTCTTTTGATTCTTGTTCTTTCCTTGTTCTTGCTGTGTTATCGATCGTTGTCTATTTTCTGTCTTTTTATTACTGTTATTTTTTTTTCTGCGTCTATTTCGTTTTATCATTATCATTGTCATCATATTTATATATTTTTGCCTGAATATCACCCTTATTATCATTATTGCCACTTCCTTTTTATATATTGCTTTTGTTGCTGTGGCCCTTAGCTTTGTCTTGTTCTGCTTCTTATTAGAGGTATCATTCTTATATCATTGTTTACTCCATCTCTGCCTATTCTTTATCATCATTCTTACCTCTTTTTACTGTTTTTTATTACCTATTATTATTGCATTTATCATCTGTTATTATGTGCGCCTTATTTGTTATCATCACTGCATGTATCATGTATTATTTGGACTGTACCTTATCTCTGTCTATTCTCTATTATCATCACCCTTCTTATTTCTCCGGTTGTGTCCTCCCCCCCATCTCTGACTAAGTTTTATTATTATGATTATCTTTTTGTGCTCCCTTTCGCCCTGTCTCTTTCTGGGAACATTCAGCGAGTGAAAAAGGAAGAGCTTGAGATGTTGCACAAATTGCACGCAAGCAATTGCAAAAAAATCGAGAGAGAAGAGGAAAAAAATATATTGCAGGAAATTACGCACATGCTCCCTGTCGCTGTGTGAAAACCTTCAACACTCACTCGTGCACATGCAACATAAAGCTAAATCCACATGAAAAGTACACAAAAACAGTCATACAGCGAGGCACATAAACACATTTAATATAGGACAGTAACACAGACCACAGCTGTGACCTCCTCCTTCGCCCCCTTCCCCCCATCCCCTTGCCCCTCCCCACACCCTTCCATCAATGCAAGACAGTGCTTAACCCCCCCCACACCCCCACCCCACCCCTCCACATGCACAGAGCTCAGAACACAGCTGAGATCTCCCCCTCCCTCCCCTCCCCTCCCTCCCCACTCCCTACCTCTCGCCCCCTCACCTCCCTCCTCCCTCCCCCCCCCCCCTCCCTTTCATCATAAAACAATATTCCAAATCGGGAATGGCCTGGGATGGGAATGGAAGACTTTGCAAAACAAGTTAAGTAACTGCCCGGTTATTGGAATTACATCTTTGTGTGTCGTGCACAGTTCAACACAGACACCTACATACATGCGCACTCTCACGCACACACAAAAATACACACACAGACACCTACATACATGCACATCTCTCAACGACACACACAGACACCTACATACATGCACTCTCTCACACACACCAAAAATACACACACACACACCTACATACATGCACTCTCTCACGCACACACAAAAATACACACACAGACACCTACATACATGCACTCTCTCACGCACACACAAAAATACACACACAGACACCTACATACATGCACTCTCTACGCACACACAAAAAACACACACACACTACATACATGCACTCTCTCACGCACACACAAAAATACACACACAGACACCTACATACATGCACTCTCTCACGCACACACAAAAATACACACACAGACACCTACATGCATGCACTCTCTCACGCACACACAAAAAACACACACAGACACCTACATACATGCACTCTCTCACGCACACACAAAAATACACACACAGACACCTACATACATGTACTTTCACACATACACACACACAAAAACACACACACACACTTACATACACGCATTCTCTCTCTCTCTCTCACACACACACAAAAAAATACACACACAGACACCTACATACATGTACTTTCACACATACACACTTACATACACGCACACACACACACACTCTCTCTCTCTCTTACACACACATACACCTAC